CCGGAAGCCCCGGAAATTCTTTGTCATAATCGACAGGCTTAAAACCCGGTGGATTGGGTTTCGGTTTATTTCCGTGACCTCTTGATTTATCCAAGGGGGCTTGGGAGTCAGTTTTTTTAGTTTTCTGCGAGTCATTCTTGGATCGCTTCCTTGAAGGACCTTTGAAAACAAAAGGACTTCCGTCATTGCCCTCTGAGTCAGTGTCGTCCTCGTCAACTGGGAGAAGATTGAACGGATTATTGTTTTCTTTTTCCGGAGTGATTTTGGGAGAAGGATTGAAGGTCTTCAAGATCTCCGCAAAGGAACGCTGAGAGCGCGCCTTCAGAGACCGTTCAAGTTTTTTTCCTTGCTGTTTATACTTCGGGCAATCTGCGAGAGGATGCGGGGTTGCCAAACAATAAACACATTTAGGAGGAGCACCACAAGCACCCTCCGCATGCTTCTCGCCGCACTGATCGCATCGTGGCTTGTTGCCGCAGAAGGCCTAATTGTTTGCACTTTGTGCAGTTCATCACCCTTGGTACAAACAACTGCACAGGAAGTCGAATCCTCCCAATTCGGACATAATCCGGCAGAGTCGATCCGGAGAAAGTCACTCGAAACGAGTCAGTCAGCGCGTAGTTTTTTTTTGTCCCGTCGAGGGATGCTGACTGCATTTGGGTGCAGTCAAGAATCTTGACTTCTGGAAGAACGGGGTTCTTGAAGACACCAACCCCCCTCTTCAAGAAGTCATCGCAGGTCAAACTCGCTTCGGTGACCACTCCTTCGATTTCCACGTCACGACTGGGAATGTAAACGCGGTACTCTAACGTAAAAAGCTCGCAGGCAACAATCTCATTCGCCTGCTTGCGGTTACCAACAGTGACGTGCAGTTTGTCTGGCCTCACCTTCAAAATTTTGGTCACTGACGAGAAACGTTCAAATAGATCTTTTTCGGTTTTTGTTTGGGTCGGAAAAAACAACCCATGGGCCTGTCGAGGCGTCTGGGTATGCCTTATGGCGGGGGGCAGTTTTTGTTTTCTTGGCGGGGTTAGGCGGAGTAGGGGGAGACGGTTTTGGCGGTGTGGGGGGAGAGGGATTAGGTGGGGTAGGGGGTAACGGGTTTGGCGGTGCGGGGGGTGACGGTGCTGGTGGTGTTGGTGGCGATGGATAAGGCGGGGTAGGAGGAGATGGGGTAGGCGGTACGGGCTCCGGTGCTCGTTTTCGCCTGGGCCGCTTCGGGATTGTTCCGGTGTACTTCGTCACCGTGGCTGTCGTTTCCACGTCGGACAGTTCGTCTTCAGTGGGATGGGCAGGAAGGGTATTCCCCCCGCCATCACTATTACCATCCATTGCGGGGCAACTGCTACCGCAATAGATACAAAACAACTACACACAGGGAACGCACAGGGACAAGAGAAAAAGAAAAAGAAAAAAATATTTGCTTGGGATGGGAGAAGGGGGAAACGAAAACAAAGGGGCAATAAATAAAACTTATTCGCTACCGGCACAAAGCGTGTGTGTGGAAACGCTGCTATCACGTGGTGCGTTGGTGTTGGTCCACGCTGCTATCCGGTGGTGATGGTTGGTGTTGGTGGGTCGGCAAGATGATGACACGACACGCTTCACTATCACTTGCACACCCACGCGACGGCGTGAAAAATGATGGGCTTGACGACGCCGTTAGCTCCGGTGATGGATTACCGGGATGAATTAAAGATGGATGGTAACTCCAAGGGGCTCGGCCGATGGAATTCCACTTCCTTTGTTGGACACTGGTCACTTGAGGCACCCAATGGGGGGTGAAAAAAACCGCTCGGGCGGAAAAAAAAACACCGAAAAAAACTAGATGCCGCGCAACTGAAACCGGGACGTTGTTAACCGACTGAATGCTCAACTAGGAATCTCTTGGTGGAGATGATTTTGAGGATCAAATGCAAAGTGATTATTTTCGAGATCGCAGTAGGCCGCGATTGAAAGCTGACGTATTTTTCTTTTGCTGCGTTTGTTATTTTGTGTGCTGAAATTTAGTTTCAAGTGTTCATAAAGTTATCATTTAGTGATATATCCCTTGAATCTAACCTCCAAAATATACAACGCAGATTCAGTTCCATTGGTCGGTGTCGATTTTCATTGCCTCCCAGGAGCCCGGTTCTCCGAGCTCGGATGCCACACTTTTGACTATTGAGAGATCGGTCCGGTTGGTGAATTAGCCCGGGAACGTGTTGATAATGTGTCCGTCGCAAGTTTTGGTGATGATTCGGTGGCCGACGTTGCCGTGAATCAGCAAGTTTATCGCTTGCAAAAGTGCTCGGCTGCTGGTCTCTCGCCGGTGTCGGAGTTTGCGAGCAATATGAAAGATGCCTCGCTGGATACGCCCAAGACTGGACGGGTGGCAGTTGGTGGCCGTGAACTGTTCCTGGGGAAAGCACTAGACGCGAGCCTATTCCCAGATGACCATGACAATGCAAGAAAGTTTTTGTTCGTTAAAGGAAGTATTACGACAAAGGTGCATCACGAAATGAGATACAAAGCTTAGAGAAAATCAAAATTACCTATGGATTGGAGGATCAAATTAACATGGTGAGACCAGTCCAAATATATTTCATAATTTCAAAAACATAAACTAAATACATGTCAGGTTTGAAAAGAATATGTATGTAATACCAATATCCATTTGATAACGGTGCGGGGCTTATTGTAAGTGAAAGTAACCTCGGAATGGGCGTGACTCTCTAGACATTCTGAAATGGGTTGCTGGATCTGCAATAGAGCTATCACTTTCTAACTCCCGGACTAAAGCTGTCTACAATGACCATAAATGCGACATTGTAGAGAGAGTTCTTCCATAATAACACTGCCGGCCAGTGGGGGTTAGAGGGAACACACACACACACACAATTAGCTTCACGCACTACTAATCAACTATATATTCAGCCTGCTGTTAATCAGTTTTGTACACCTTAAACCAACCAATAATCAGCTTCTGTTCTTACTGTTCAGCTTGAATTGTTACTTGGGAACTGGCGGACAACGTTTACAGTTTCTAAGCAAACAGAAACAAGATAAGTGACTATTAACCCAAAACTTCCCCAGCAGTTTATCAACTACACACACTCATTCGATTGAAAACTTTCTGAAAAGCCATGATTATCTGCAATTATGGACGCACTCAAATCCGACCGCAAATTGCGGCCATACAAAACTTGCATCAGCATCACTTCAACATCAACGAGAGCAGCATCCCTTGCGGTCAGCCGTGTCCACTTCTGGGGGTGCGAAATGAAACCTCTTCACCTTCCCGGACCTACCGCAAGATGGAAGAAAAAGTTTCATTAATTGAGACGAACCGTGAACGAGAAGAGAAGCATCATCGACAGGTTTTTACGAGTCCAAAAAGAAAACTTCCAGGAAGATGCAGACGCGGGCAAAAAAAACTCCTTCGCTAAAATGTACACTTCAAGCAAGCAGTAAACACCTCATGCTACCCTTCTGAGTTTTGCTTATTCATTCCAGTTGCGAAGCAAAGCAAAGCGTCCAAACCAATGAACTTCATTAACTGTCGATTATGCTTTCAATGGACGGTTTTTCGCACGTTTCTTCTTCGAAACAATTAACTTTTCATTAGCTGCTTATCATACCTTTGGGAAAACTCTGAAATTTGTCTACAGCAAACTACAGTTTTTATTCGCTGATTTTCCGCCACTCATGATTGCATTTTCCGATCGGACAAAAAAAGAAGCATCAAAGCAACTTTTGTATCGACCGAGAAATCACTTGCTCTTGAATCTGTTGCAGCAAGCGTGGAAAAGTTCGCCAGAGCCTGCTTCGACGATGATGATGAACTTTCGATGCGAGGCCGATACTTCAACTTTGCGAAAACTTCTTCCCTCGGCAGTCGCGTTCCACTCGAAGAAGGCTATTTTCTACCAGCGATCGTCCAAGACAAAACCGAGTGGAGCAAGTGAGGTTCAAAGAGTGCTTAAACTTTGATTGGTAGATAATCGGCCGGATTTAAGGATATAAACTTCGCTAAACGAAGAGAAGTGAGTATGTGTGTATTAGAGAGAGAGACGGAGGGTGGGTTGTACGTAAGTTGTCCGTGTGTTTGCGTGGTTTGTGGCTAACCCACTTGGGTGCCATCGCAGGTGTGACGGAATGATCACTGCTCACATGTTCTTTATAGGCTACATCAACTGTGTTCCTCAGCGTCAGCGGGTGAGAAAAAGTTTTCCGTTCAGCTGAGATTGCTAGTTGGGAAAGTATCGGGATTCCTTTTTTATCGGTTTCGAACATAATTTCATCGGTGCGTTTTTGTGTTTCCATACGTATGTCTTGCAGACTGGTTGGAGCGTTTGGTTTGACTGGTTATTAATTGAAAACCATTATGGGATAATGTTTTTTCGATCAATTTATTTGGCCCCGTGCAGCTTTAACATAAAAACTGTACCTGCCAAATAGCATGAAAGTATGATTGTATTGATTGAATTAGTTAGAATTTTGTAATTGTAACTGCGTTCTAATATTTTTTTATCAGAATACTGTGTTAACATATAAAACACTTGTTTTTAAATCGGTCGTAAAATGTATTTTATATTACAAACAAGAAATAATGTGTTGCTTGGATTTCCTTCAAATAACCTAAGTAACACATATTCATGGATTTAAGTTGAGTAAACTTCTTTACAATACAAACCAACCATACAAAGGTTATAGAACTTGTGTGTTGCTTGCGAATCTTTCAGACAATTTAATGATGATGATGATGATGATGATGGTCCCATCTCTAACCCCTTAAGATCTTTTAAAATCTCTAACCCTCTGATCTGCTGCTGATCTTGTCCAACATTCTTCTGATCTTTTATTTGTCTGTTCAAATATTGCGCTTTCTTATATCTTTTGATTTGACATTATTTTATGCTTCTGTTCTGCTGTGTTTCGAGTGAATACCACTTACTTTTAACTTTCAACATTCGTATATTATCTCATCATCAAATTACAATTTACTAATACTCACCTTCTATTAACCCTTAACCCACCAATCAACAATCGACATTATCCGCCGCGTCGCATCTCTGCAGCTCCTCGCTGAAGTACTGCCCAGCAGGGCAGAATGACGGTTCCGCGTGGCCTCCCAGACATTCGTAGAACGCTGCACAGTTGGTCGGATGTCTCACCAACGTATGATCTTCGATGCCGTAGCAAACACCGGGAGTAGGAACCGTCGTCACCTCGTCGGAACACACGGCTTCATCCTCAGCTACGCACGTCAGCTGATACTTATCGAATGCCATTCCTTCGGCACACGGTGAACGATACGGACTACCATTCACGCAGATGTAGAACCACGAACAGTCAAGCGGATTTGGAATTTTGGTTCCCTCTGGAGCTCCATCGCAAATGCCTTCGATCGGTGAAAGAGTTGGCATGAGTCCATGCGGGCAATCAACCTCGCCAGGGGCGAAACAGTTCTGACGACTCTCGTCGAACCACATTCCAAACGGACACAGTTGCCGGAACCCAATTTGGTCGATGCAGACGTAGAATTGGTTGCAGAACAGTGGATGCAGTACCTGGCGTCCATCGGTGACACCGGTACAGATGCCTTCGGTCGGTGGAACAACCGGTGGACGATCAATGACTTCACACGATACTTCACTCTGTGGTCGACATTCCTGATGTTCTTCGGAGAACCACAGCTCACCGCTGCAGATCATCGGATAGGGGACTCCGTTCCAACACTGGAAGAAGCGGTAGCAGTAGTAGTCGTTGGATACGAAGGACAAATCCAGGGCACCGTAGCAACGACTTTCCGGAGTTGGTGCAGGAGTCGACGCTCCCAGCGGGCAGTAGACATTTTCCGGACGATCACAAGACTGCCGATTCTCATCGAACCACAGTCCATCCGGGCAGATCTGGGGATAACCAACCTCGTCAACGCAAAGGTAGTACCTGGAAATGATAAACCCAATCAGATACGAACGACATCGTGGATATTTCGAACAACTTACTGATTACAGTGATTCCAGTTCCGCTCGAATCGTCCATTTGTGGCTCCGATGCAAATACCCGGCGTAGGAACGATCGGTCCAGGATTTCCCGGTCGTAGTTCACACTGTACATTCGCTGAAACATCGCAAACCTGCCGCTCAAAGTCAAACCAACGTCCCGGCCGGCAAATCATCGGATACGCAACTTCGTCTATGCACTGATAGTACCGGTAGCAGTAGAAATCATTACGCAACATACTGTAGTTCTCTGCGCCTTCACAGCGCTCATACGGCGAGGGAGTTGTGACATCGGGAGCCAGAGGGCAGTACGTCTGCGATGCCGGTGAACAGATCTGATGGAACTCGTCGAACCACAAACCATCGGGGCACACTAGCGAGAAGCCAATCTGGTCGACGCAAACATAGAACTGGTTGCAAGCACGTGGATTGCGCACCTGTTGTCCATCCCGAGCACCGTTGCAGATTCCAGGAGTCGGTGGTACAATCGGTGGATTCGGATTTACGATACATTCCACTTCGTCGGGGTCAGAACAAATTTGGTGTTCTTCATCGAACCAAAGATTTCCACGGCAGATCATCGGGTAAGGTGCACCGTCGATACATTGGAAGAACCGGTAGCAATAGTTGGGGTTCGATACGTAGGAGTAATCCGGGATCTGATCGCACAGTGCCCAAGGATGCGGAGCGATCGTTGTCGTAGTGGGAGGTCCCAAGTCACACGAAGTTTCTCCGGGAGGTAGACACAGCTGCTGGTCTTCATTGAACCACAAACCTGGACCGCATATCTGCGGGAATCCAATCTCGTCAACGCAAATGTAGAACTGGTTGCAAGATCTCGGGTTCGGAACTTGTACGGAATTGGTCACTCCATTGCAAATACCTGCAGTTGGTGGGAGACGCGGTGGTTCGTCTTCTACTATACACTCCACATCAGCAGGATCCCTACAGCGCTGCTGGCGCATATCAAACCACAGGTCACCAGGACAGATCATTGGGAAAGGTGATCCACTAACGCACTTGTAGTAGCGATAGCAGTAATTCGGATCGGAAACATAGGCTAAATCCGGAATTCCTTTGCACATTGCGTACGGACTCTCAGTAACTGGAGGACGTTCCGGAGCAAGGTCGCACTTGACGGTTCCCCCGAGAGAACAGGTTTGTTCCTCTTCGTCGAACCATAGCCCGGGAGGGCAGATCACTGGCCATCCGATTTCCCGCACACACAGGAAGAATTCATTGCAGAACGTGTGATGAGGAGCGAGGTGCCCATCTACAACATCGTTACAAATTCCATCGATTCCTGGAGGTCGCACGACTGGAGGAGGTGTTGCATCACATTCTACATATTCTGGCCGATCGCACTGCTGCCGAGATTCGTCAAACCACATTCCATCGTGGCAAAGCAGTGGGTAGGGAGTGCCGCTGATGCACTGGAAGTAGCGGTAGCAGTAGTTTTCATGCTTGACGTAATGGTAATCAAGGACGCCATCACAAATGGCAAATGGATCTGGAGCTGGAGTTGATGGGCCGTGAGGACAATCCACGTAGAGGGGATTGTTGCAAGATTGGCTATATTCATCGAACCATAGACCCAGAGGACAGGTGGTTGGGATACCGATTTGGCCAACGCAAAGGTAGAACTGATTGCAATGCAGTGGATGCAAGACTAATTGACCATCTGTGGTGTCGCCGCAGATTCCTGGAGTAGGGGATACCGGCGGTGGAGCATGATCGATCTCACATTCAATGCTGTCCTGATCGACGCAGCGCTGCATTTCCTCAGAGAACCATTGATCACGAGGGCAGATCAACGGGAATGGTACGCCGTTACGGCATTGGTAGTACCGATAGCAGTAGTCTTCGTTGCGGACGAAGTGAAGATTCACAACGTCGTCGCAGCGGCTGAAGGGAGTGGTCGTAGTCTCCGGTGGAATCGGTGGTCCCAAAGGACAGTCCACGGTACCAGCAGGTGCACATGTTTGACCCTCTTCGTCAAACCACATGTTAAGCGGACAGATCTTGGACCATCCAATTTCATTGACGCACACATAGTACTTGTTACAGGCTGTTGGATTCGGAGTGAGGCGGTTATTGGCGCTTTCGTCACAAATGTTCGGCGTCGGAGGTACGATGGGCTGTCCTGGCTCGAGAGTACACTCAACGTTGGCCGGATCGTCGCAAACATCTCTGATGGGATCGAACCACTTGTTGTCCGGGCAGATCATCGGGTATGGGAAGCCATTGACACACTGGTAGAACCGGTAGCAGAAGTGTTCGTTCGGAACCAAGGCAAAATCTTCCTCCATATAACATCTAGCAGCACCGGTTGGTCCATGAGGACAACTCACGTCCAGTGCATCCGCGCACATCTGACGCTCCTCGTCAAACCACAGCCCGGACGGACAAACCACGGGAACGCCAACTTCAGCGAAGCAGACATAATATGTATTGCAGAAGTACGGATGCAGTACCAGTTCACCGTTGTCCGCTCCATTGCAGATTCCCGGCGTCGGTGCAGGAGTCGGTGGGACTCCGTCCACCTCACACGTCACTTCCGAAGGATCTTGACAAATCTGCAATTCTTCATCGAACCAAAACTCGCCACTGCATCGCATCGGATACGCAGATCCGTAGATGCACATGAAGTAGCGATAGCAGTAGAATTCATTTTTCACAAAACTAAAATTCGGACGATCGTCGCAGAGATCGGATTGGGCATGTACAGCTCCGATCACCACCAGTAGGGCAACAAGTGCCCAAATAGCTGCAAAAAAATCCACTTCCGATTACTCACTCCGTTATCCAAAGAAAACTCAAACGATTCCAACTCACCTTTCATCTTCCGGCTGCTTCCTTGTTGAACCACCACGGAAATACTGACCGCTATGTTGCCGAAAATGGTCTTAAATAGGCCAAGTTTAAAAATGCCTTATCGAAGATTGCAACTCACCGTCGTCTTTGGGATGACATAAACCAATCCAACCCCAAATAGATAAGCTTGCCCGAGGGTCATAAACTAGAGGATGCGTTCAAGGTGCATCGCCCGACGCAGGTGGACAGCTGGCTGTTAGCAGCGTATAATTTGGCCATACACGAGATGGGACCAAAGTTTGCAAGCACAGGACACCTAGTTCAAAATCCCGGCAGACTGGACGACGATGGAATGTGTTTGATCGCTCTGTAGGAGATACAGGTGAGAGATACTGTGAGCGGGATTTGTAGGTATTCTTTTACTGTCCACTCGAGTGGCTATCTTTATGGCAGATGGGCGATATCATTATAAAGGGGTATGATTTGTGCTGCATCGCCGAACGATTTCGGATTGTATAGTAACTGATAATTAGCACGTGCTTCGTTTCCGGACCTTGGTTGAGGTTGTTGTTCGATCTCCAATTTTCTGTAGTCTCTGGAAGAAGGGTCTTCAAAATTGACACTTTGAAGTATTTCTAGGAAAAAACAAGACGAATCTTAGGCTATGTTCCACACACTAAGATTTTGTTTTCGTGTTCGGTAAATTTTACCGAAATCAGAACAGCTGAACGTTCGGTAAAACTTTGACCTTCATTTTAAAGGCTATTGAATTTGAAAATAATTTCAACGCATGTTCAACCTTGTTTAAATAATCAAATCTTGTCATTTTAGTGAAGATTTAGTTTTAACGTAGCTGAAAAGCAATTGAATTGAATTGCATAAATTTTACCGAACAGTTCAGCTGCTCAGATTTCGGTAAATATTACCAAAGTCGGCGATAATTTCTAAGTGTGCATTTGGTACATTTTCACTTAAATTTGACATTTCAAAAATTTATTAAGATTTTCGAAAATCCCGCTGTTGTTGATCGGCCGATTTTCAAGAAGGTTTATTTGAAAATTTTCCATCTGTCAAATTTAAGTGAAAATTCACCAAATGGAACACAGCCTTAGTATACTAGATGATGTCGAGGGTTTCCTACATCGACAGGACTTGTGAGGGCAACTCTATGAAACTAGCCCGCGAACGGTTGCTTTTAATTTCGCTGACACAAAATTCGTGTTTTTTAGCTGTACCAAGGCGAAAACAAATATTTTGGACATTATCATGTTTACACAAATGAAGATTCATCATGAATAATTTATCGGTGTTTTAATATTGTAAATTATTGTGAAAACTCATGGCTAGAACTTGGTTTGAATAGTTGTGTTGCTGCAGCATCGCGCTAGCCGGTTTGAGCTTGGGTCGGTTCTTCTTTTCGTGCGTTTCGGTGCTACGCCTCCGCTCCGGGACGGAAAGGACGTTCTGCCCTCCGGACAATAACCGGGGAAAATAGTTTTGCAGGTTAGACTAGGCCCCCACGCCGTAAAAAAAAAACTCCGAAATGTGCTTTGCTTTAGGGAAAATGACGGCTTCGGCAGACTATTCTCGGCAACCCAACTTGAATCGATAATTTCATTGGATTTTCTCACGTAAACACTTCCCTGAATGCATTCAAACGATTGTTTAGGTTTTCAGCTTCAATTTAATTATATTTTTACCACTGAGAAAAAGCAATCTAGCAGGATTTTCTTGAAATGAAACACACGCACTACAAAATGCTGCTGATTTCAAGTTGCCGATGAAAGCACAGCTGTTTAATACGCAGCTCAAATAGAAAGGTTGCCGAATAAAAAGGTGTTGCCCACAATAGTCGCTCCCACTAGAGAAGTTTGGAGCTTTGTAAAAGCGTTTCAAACCACGGGACTGTCACCAATTTTTTTCACTATGGGATTTGACAAGTATGACAGTACTCTCTTGCACGGGCTATAAAATATAGCCCAACAACACACCAAATTTAAATCGCTGAAAATCAGCAAAATTTTGCTGATTTTAGACTTGATGAAAGATCAGCAAACTTTCAAGCAAAATAATACTAAAAATCAGCAATATTTCTTTACTGATCTTTCACCAATTCAAAATTCTGACATTTGGCAGCATTTTGCTGATTAAACTATTAAATTCAGTAAATTGAATTTGTTTTCACTATTTGAGCTTCCAGCTTTTCGTTGATACAAATATACGAATAATAAAGATAAAATCGCCAGACGCTTTCCCAAGTAACCAGTGTCCGAGCCATCAGTTATTATTACCTACATAATATTTATTTGTAGTTTTTTTTCTGCGGTTTGACCGGTGGTGTACGAATGCAAAAATACTTGCGACTGTGATGCTAACAGTTTGACAGCTCTTTGATTAAGTGTCAGTTTATGTTGGCTGATTTTTTCGGTTAAAAAGTAGTTAGCTGTTTTTCAGTAAAGTATTGGATTGCTGATCATGATCCAGGAAATCGATTTACTGATAATAAAAACTTACATTTGGTTCGAACACATACGCGGCTGTATTGCGTATTTTATAGCTGTCGCTTATTCCGCATGTGTTTGTTTTGCGTTGGTTGTAAGTGTGTGGGTGAAAAATAACAGACATCAGAAAAATGCTGGCTTAGCAGCCCCTTGTTCAAAACAGTTTTTGACAATTATTTCGACTGAAATTGTTAGAGAAGCTGACAGCAAACCAATACTGCAAATGTATATGTATATAATCGAATGTTCCTCAGTACAGCAAACACATCAACTCTAACCTCGCCTTAATATTCATCTAGAGCTTTTCTCAAAATTACATTGGAACGGTCAATTGACTTATGCCGCGGATACACTTGTTTGACAAACTATGACCATAACCATTATTTGTTTTATAAATTATGAGCACATCCATGGTCACACTTGTATAGTTTTTGTATAGTTATTTTAGATTGCTCATAATTATTATACAAATAATGCTCATGCTCATAGTTTTTCATCCAAGTGTATCCGCGGCATTACTCTCTTAGTTGTATATTCAGATTTTCTTTAAATCTCTTTAAAATTCCTTTTGGGGTTTTCTTAGATTTTTTAAAAGTTCTTCATAGTGACCGTGAACATGATATTTAAAAAAAGACAAAAACAATACAAAATGCATCGCTGATTTTTTAATATGTTGTGTAAAAAAGCCTAAATTTGCTATGAACAATATAAAAACATATTGCACCGTCAGTCTACAAACCCTGAAATCCATTAAAAATAAAACAATCAATGTTTTTCAATACAAAATCCCAATTTTTAATATTATTACGCTTTTTCAAAAAGTTTTTTTAATTACCTTTAGTTTGATATTTTGATCCTTAAAATCGGTGGGACAGCTTTACTCTGAGCTGCTTTTTTACACTCGTGAGTAACTCAATATACCTTAAAATTCAATCGACGTTCATCGATTTTTTCTCTCTGCCTACTCCGTTTATTCTCTTTGAAAAGATTTATCGCATATTGGACGTCAGTTTTGTTTATAAACATAGTAAGAATGTTCAGATCTGCTATTAAAACTATGTGCATTCCAGTACCACTTGGATCAAAAGGAATTTTTCCGAAAAACGGCTCGAACTATGCTGGGAATGATTCCAAAGGGGGCCTCCATCACCAGCTGCTGTAAATGTTTTGGAAGTGATTTTTGTTCGTACTCTTCCGTCTCGAAAAGTTAGATATGAATTAACTGAAGGTAGGTGGAAACAGGCTATTTGTTCTCATAAAATAACCAGAGGAATCGTTTTCAGATGTTTACCGAGGAGAACGTGAAATCTTCGGTATTGAAGAGGCCAGAGTATCCAGTGTAGTCACCACTGCCGAAGCCGGTGAGTACGATCCTCGATCATCGTCCAGACTTAAGTCCCATCATTGATCTACTGGACGAAATCGAATCCTGCATATGGTTCAGAAAGAGTGGAAGGAAAGGGTCCTTGGCGATCTGAAGATTTTCAATGGAAAATCTGATCTGAACAAGTACAGGATCATCGCTATGGAATTTGCCGACAAGAAACTGAAGAAAGAAACATGCTCCATAAACTAACGAAAAAAAAAAAATTTCTTTCTGAAAGATATTCAGAAACAGAAATATAGACTTCCATCAACGGCCGCACAAGAATCTTGGAATCTTGCACTATCTAGAAGGTACATCAGTGGCACCAGAAGTGGGATGGTGCCCGCTGGCAGCAGAACGTCGCCGTAGTAATCCAGAGCTCAGATTGCAATTTTATCCAGTGGCAGGTTGTCCAGCAATGGTAACGGGATCGCTTCAACTAGTATCAGATGATGTACGGGGTACATATAATTTTTCGGACCGGAAGTATTTGGTCCGGCGAATTGAGTTTTGCTATCACCTCACGCCGGATGTTTCCTTTTGTTGTTGTTATGTTTGATAGCAGGGTTTCGGCTTCGCACCTCCAAATGTTGCTTTGATGCGAAAAGTGAGAAAGCAAATGACAGTGATTTTGCTCACTGAGCAATGTGAGTTACTCGAGGTGTCTCAGAAGCAACTCTGAAATTGCTCATGATTAAGAGCGGTCTTGCCCCTTGGTCCAATGGTTCAAAAGTAGTGAAATTTAAAAAAAAAACTATTTTTTTGGACCACCCTAACATGGAAATGGTCACCCTAATGACAAAATAAAAAAAAACTGGTGGAATATTTTGCGATAAGAAACAAAACTACAATTTTTTTTTCGAAATTCTTAGAATCTCTAAATCGTTTTGCTATTGATGAATCTACGCGAAACTGCACCAGTGCATGCGACACCTAGGTTTGAAATCCAAAACCACAAAAGTGAGGATGTACTAAAAAATATTCCATACGATTTGACAGCTAGCAAAGCGTCATTTTCATTTTCACATCATTTCCATCTGCTGGCCGACCATAACGTAGATTCATCAATGGAGTATGCCTCTTCTTCTTTCTTTTATTTAACGTCGGTCTCTGTTCCGCAATCTACACTCAAAAAATTCCACACGTCATCATTATGTGTTTCACACTTAATTTTGC